AAAGATATGGTAAGTTGTGCCTAAGTCGAGGATTACTAAATTATAGAGTGGGTACGTATTTAGATTAGATTATATAGTAGTGTTAAAACTTATACTTATGGTTGTAGTATAGATTTTATAACCATCTAGTCACTTATTGCTTACCTCTATTAATCGGGTCGGCGTTGGTATATAGGACTATTTAATATAAGGTGTTTATATTCGTGATCTACTTTAACCTTAAATTAGCCCTTAAAACGTGCTGTTATGCTTACGTTTAAGCTTAATTAGTTCACTAATAGCTGGTCTTGGTTTCCACCATGTAGGTGCTAGTTCCTTATAAAGGTAATAGTAATCTTTGGCTATATAGCCTTATTTATACGCTAGGCATAGGCCTGTGGTGTTTAAAGGCTCATTATATAATAGCTGAGAGGTCCCGTATAGATATACTCTCTTTCATTTTAAGGGACGTCCCTTAGATGGCGTGTATTTAGTATAAGAGGCGTCCCTATTATTACCCTAAGTGGTTTCACCACTATTAGCGAGAAAGGCTCTATTAGTTATAAAGGCCGCTTTGTGCTTACTCTTTACGCTAGGGTGGTTTACCATTATATGCTCTTGGAACCGTTTTATTATCTCCTTTCTAGTTATACCAGCGGTATATCTACTATAGTCTTAGAAGGCCGTAGCCCATATAGGTGCCACTTTGTTAATAGCTACTAGAAAGTCCTTTATAATCGCATTTAGTTACATTACTTTAGTAACCCTATAGGTCTCCGCTTCTATAGCTGCCTAATTATATTTAGTAAGCTAGGTTTCCTATTAATTAACACTTCTCATTGCTTTTAGAGCTGTGAGATATCTATCTCTAGCATACTCTTGTTTAAATTGCTTATTAACGCTAATAGTGAGCTTAAGACTTATAACCCATTAGTAGAGTGGCTAATTAGGTAGGTAGCATGTGCGCTAGAGGTATTTTGCCACCATTAAATGGATAAATGCGATGATATGCTAAATGCTTATTTACTCCCTCTTATATTCGTGTTAATTACTCTTATACTATTCATGATAGATCTTATAGTACTTAAGGTCCTCCTTAAAGGCCTTCTATCCAGCTGTTAATAGCTTAGACTATCATACTAGTATCTTAATATTAGCTACTAGGGCGTATTTTATAATAACTAGTACTTAGATAGCTACTAGTTACATAATTAGCAGAGTTACTAAATTAGGGTTAATCTTATCTTATAGATTATATATAATATAGCGCGCCTACAGCTGCGTATACTATCCTATAAAGTTATTATAGTTGTGGAGCGTTATCTCTACGCGCTAAGGGGTTAGTTGGGCCGTTATGGTTGATTAGTATATTGGTTAAGGTAGTAAGACTCTTAATTATTAGATTTATATAGTGATTTAATGGATGTTAGTAATCTAGAGATGAGATAAATTAATTAATTATTATCATATACGTATATTCTAACGTGTTGGATTAGTAAGCTGGCCAGATTAGTAAGCTGGCCACCCCACTAAGCCGCGCGTGACGCGTCCATCTACATTAATTTTAAAGCCGTAATAACGCTCTCTACAGCTTATAAAAGAAGGTAGGATTAATCTTACTATTGCCTCCTATTAATCTAATCCTACTTAATCACTTCGCCGCCTTACACTATCCTTTAATGTACCGTAATTAACCCTACAGACGCGCCTCCATGATGTTAAGCTAAAATGCGAGATAGTATTAGTTAATTAAAAGTTATCCCCTAGCGAGGAGTAGTCTCTTATTTAGTGGATCCTAGAGCTTAATTAACGAGGATTTCCACCCAAGATTATCAATGTATAATGGATGGCTGATCATCTACTTACTACGCGTAGCCAGGATCCTCCACCTCCGCCTGTAGGCCAGAAGTAGGCATCACGATTTATTAAGACTTAGCCAGAGCTGCAGACAAAGTGGGATAGGAAGCTATATAGTTAGCGCGCTCTATATAAGGATCCTATTAAGATCTCTACATGGTATACGCACGTAGAGGAGACGCGTAGGACATATAGTATACTAGATAAAGATACCTATAATTTTAATGAGATAGGATTTATAATGGGTGTAGGATCCTCCTTATCTAAGGTAGTAACTAGCGTAGACACTATGGGTAGAGCTGTACACGTATAGCCAGGTAATAGAGGCTAGGTAATAATAATTAAGTGTATCTACGTGTCTAGCTGGTCTATCCTACCCCTTATCATCCTATCTAGTAAGGTCTATTAATCTACCTGGTACAACGACCTACCTATAGGCTAGAAGCTTATAGTCAGCGATAATAGCTGGATGATAGATTAGCTAGG